AATAGATTGATATCAGAATACTTTATAGATCAAAAGGAGAATATCTCTTTTTATGACACCATAGATGTTAACATCTCTTTCTATAATTTATAACTAATTTATTTTTTCATACAATTTTTAGAGGGCTAGTAGTACAAAAATGAGCAAGAGTTTTTTCTGATTTAGAAGTTGTATATGTAGACGTGTTCAAGGGCCGACCCGTGATAAAACCGGGCCAGTTCCGGGTCTCAGTTTTAATTTTTTGACCCGTTGGTTCGGGCTCACATGCGGGTCATAATGGTTTTTTTATTAAAAAAATTGGCGATTCAATGAACCGTCGTGTAAACCGGGCCATATATATAGTCGGACCGGTTATGGGCCTAGCATTTGAGGCCCGCCGACCCGGCGGGCCGGGCCAAGTCGTGAACGGGCCAGGCTGTTGGACACGTCTATGTATATGTATACTAGTTCAATATTAATGGAAGTTAGAAGTTAAAAAAAAATGATGCAATGTAAGCAAACCAAATATGTGAAATTGGACAACATAATGATACAAACGCTTATATTAAACATGAGAAAATTAAATTAATGGGCACGTGATGTCTGAACTGTTTGGAATAAAATGCAGAGTAGTGGGCTCAAATTTGAATCAGCCCACGTAGGTGTATATCATTGCTAATCCACCAACCCTCTAATTCATACGAAGGAGAATGATTGGTGGCAAGATAAATCTGAACGTAATGTTCCTTCAAATTGTATTTAAAACTAGAAAATATAGTGGCAAGACAAATTTGAAAGTCATGTTTATATTAAAAAAAATAAAGATGTTAAACCAACAAACACGCTCTATTCGAATTGTTAGCTCAAGATTGTTGACACGATTAATTAACAATAAAGGCTTGACCGTGCTGGAGTGTCACGGACTTGAACTTGGTTGGATTCACTTAAAAGATGAAAAAAAATGCTAGGAAATATGAGAATGATTAACGTGTCCAAACTAACGTCAAAAGATTCTTCAAAGACAAACAAGGAAATGGCTAAAGCAAGGGGTAAATGTGTCCTAACATATGGGCAAGCTAAAGTGGCATGAGTGTGAAGCTGTAATGGGGCCCACAAAACCACAGATGCAAATCATGACAAAATCAACGGCTGCGATCTTCGGAGATTGTGAATTTGAGACTAATTTAAGCCGAATTTCGTGTGAGGCTGAGCTTCATTCTCGGTGTTCTCCAAACGCGAGGGGCGGCACACCACACACTCACTCGCACGAAGGAGAAAAAACAGAGGTCCCTTATCGTCGGAGGTAGAGAGAGAGAGCATTCGCCGGCAAGAGCAGGAGGAGAGGAGACCTGTTCTTCACCAGGGCCCACAAAAAGGTTCGATCTTGGCCTTTTATTGATTCGAATTTGTCATCGTTTGTGCGATTGTTTTTTTGGTACCCAATTGTTTTTGACGTACGGTTTGGATCTGGGTACTACGGCTGTGTCGTTGATCTCGTTTATGACTCGTTTTATCAGTGGTGAATGTTGCTTTCCGTTTTGAGATCTGTGGTTGTGCTGTTTGTGAATGTGGTTCGTGGATCTGGAAATGGTGTTTTTTATTTGTGTATAGATGTAGGTTTTATTTTGTGTTATTTTGGGCTTGCTGATTGTTGGTAGACGTTGGTCGTTTGTGTTCCAGATCATGCTTTCATGTTGTTCTGTAATGAAATTATTTGGGATCTGAGGTGAAGATTTAGTCTTTACAAAGATTTGTGGGGATCTTAGTGATTAAGAGGTGAAATGCAAGTTTATTGATTTACTTGTTACTGTGTTGATAAAATTGATTTCTAATTTCTCACCCTCATATTTGAAAGTCATAAATTTCAGTTCTGCAACATCATATTGATTTCGAAGTTATTGGTCTTAACCAACTGAAAATAGATATAACTGTGTTTTTGTTGATGCTTCAGATCATTTGTCTGAGTCTGGTCTCTAAGACAGTTTAATTAATACTCACATCTTATCCTATTTCTTGCGTTTGAAGACCAATACTTCCAATACCAAATTTAGGTACTCTGCTCCCATATATTCTTTTGGATGGAAACCGGTTTTCATTGATTAGAACCTGCTTTTTGTAGAAAATGCATCATGTTGAGTGGCACCCATATTACTTCCTGGATGATTCTTGATGAATATGTCATAGATCTCGACAATAAATGATTTAATTTAGACAGTTGCGCTTTGCAAGTTTACCTGTTAATGTCACATCACTTGCTGTTGTCATAAAATGCTAAAGTGATTTATTTAGTGCATTCAAAGATCATTTGCAAGATTGCATTAAGTTTTATTGGATCTCCTTTCCCGATTATCCATTGTAGAAAAAATTAAAGTCGAACTTTCATCTCCAGATCATATTAAGAGATGGCAGAAGCAGAGGATATTCAGCCCCTTGTTTGTGACAATGGAACCGGAATGGTGAAGGTAATCATTATCATAAATTATATTGTGAAAAACGCATTGATCTTGCGATATGTTTAATGCTTTGAAGGTCTAATGTGATGTGGATTCCAAACTTTTCAGGCTGGATTTGCTGGAGATGATGCTCCAAGGGCTGTCTTCCCCAGTATCGTGGGCCGCCCTCGTCACACTGGTGTGATGGTTGGTATGGGCCAAAAAGATGCTTATGTTGGCGATGAAGCCCAATCCAAGAGAGGTATTTTGACACTCAAGTACCCAATTGAGCATGGCATTGTGAGTAACTGGGATGATATGGAGAAGATTTGGCACCACACTTTCTACAACGAACTCCGTGTGGCTCCAGAAGAGCACCCAATTCTGTTGACTGAAGCTCCTCTTAATCCCAAGGCGAATCGTGAGAAAATGACTCAAATCATGTTTGAGACGTTCAATGCCCCTGCCATGTATGTCGCGATTCAGGCTGTTCTCTCCCTCTATGCCAGTGGTCGAACAACTGGTATTGTTCTGGATTCTGGTGATGGTGTGAGCCATACAGTCCCAATCTACGAGGGTTATGCCCTCCCCCACGCCATCCTGCGTCTGGATCTGGCCGGCCGTGACCTGACTGACCACCTCATGAAGATCCTAACGGAGCGCGGCTACTCCTTCACCACAACAGCCGAACGGGAAATTGTGAGGGACATCAAGGAGAAGCTGGCCTACATTGCCCTTGACTATGAGCAGGAGATGGAGACTGCCAAGACCAGCTCTGCTGTCGAGAAGAACTATGAGCTGCCGGACGGGCAGGTGATTACCATTGGGGCCGAGCGGTTCCGCTGCCCGGAGGTCCTCTTCCAGCCGTCCATGATCGGGATGGAAGCTGCCGGAATTCACGAGACTACTTACAATTCCATCATGAAGTGTGATGTGGATATTAGGAAGGATCTGTATGGGAATATTGTGCTGAGTGGCGGGTCCACCATGTTCCCGGGCATTGCTGACAGGATGAGCAAGGAGATCACGGCTCTGGCACCCAGCAGCATGAAGATCAAGGTCGTGGCCCCACCTGAGAGGAAGTACAGTGTCTGGATCGGTGGTTCTATTCTCGCCTCTCTCAGCACTTTCCAGCAGGTATGTGTGATCAATCACTTACATACATACATACATACATACTGTTTTATGTCACCAACTGTCTGTGGCGAACAAATCTGTTGTTTACCATCTACTTCTTTTACATAGAGCAAATACAACAAGCCTCCTTGAGGTTTGTATCTTTTTTAGATTTTTTATGTAAACAAGACTAAACTTAAGCACAATTTTTGCAATAATCTGTTTATTTACGGGATTTGATTGCTAGAGCCTCTGGCGCCACAAATAAACAATTTCTCAAGGTAAAAGAAAGTTGTGCAGCCTCATAATTTCTGCTCATTGATTTTATTCTGTTGTTCTAATGCAGATGTGGATAGCCAAGGCAGAGTATGACGAGTCTGGACCATCGATCGTCCACAGAAAGTGCTTCTAGAAATATTTGTGATGGCATATATGCTGTGTCTCGTTTGCTTTTTCCCTATGATCTCTTTTTTTCCCTATGATTTCTTCTTGTTCTGGCCTCTGGGTCTTTCCTTTATCTTTTAAGATTTGGGACATTGGATATGGAGACAGTATTCAATTTTTCCTATTTTAAGTTTGTAGAAGAAATGTGTAATTTGAAAGGGTACTTAATGGCTTGAGTTTTGGGATGGTCACATGAAATATCTATGTTGTGTTAATTATTTGTTTCTTGGTTCCTCTTTGCCCTTGTTTTCATGAAACAAGTATGAATTCGTATTACAGGAGAAATGAACTCTTGAATTCTGGGGTGATATATCATATTTCAAGAGATTGCTTCATTACAGTCTCCAAAGCTGTGGACCTAAGCTCATCATATTTTAATTCTTATATTTAAAAGATTGCTTCATTACAGTCTCCAAAAATGTTGGACTTGAGCTCATAATTTATCTCAATCTATACCCTAGTTACAAACAAAAAAATTCTGGCGCGATCAATATGGTGAAGTTTTATCGATCTTTTCACTTGGCATTTCAAGTCAGACCTGCCATGTTCAAGTGAAGTAGGGGCCAAAATATATGTGCTAACAAGTAAATATGTTATTTTCAAAATTGAAATGTATAGGTTGTTTAGGTGCATTTGCCTAAGCATGTACTTCAAGAGGCTATCATGTTAAAATATCCTTCTGAGTGTTTAATTGAAATACCCCATACTGCTCGGTTAGCCTTTTCGAATCGTCAGATGAGTCATTATGCCATACATAAAACCATATCTGCAAGCATTCATGAAACCAAATCACTAGTACCAAATGCTTGCCGAAAATGCTTTTTCATTATTCATCAAATCATGGGCGAAAACCATACAGACGCAGTATGGCATCTTTACTTACGATACACGCAACATTTACTCGTGCGTTGAGACCCAAGACAGAAACAGAAGCATAGAAGATTAACCGAGAAGGATGGGCCCCCAATGGCCAAATATCACATAGTGAAAACGGAAGTTTCCTTGAATAGAGTACTTATACTTAAACCTACACACACCTTGTTCAGATGAAATGAGATTGAGAAATTTGGTATTCCCACCGGAAATGAAAGTAACAGATACACAACCAACCGGCCCAAAAAGTCTCACTAAGAATTCCATGAAAGTGACGAACGAAAAATGTGAACGTGGATGAACAAACTCAAAACTCGCTGCAGTTTAACTTTTTCGCTAAATTAATCATCATCTTTCATACTAGAAGTTGAAATTCGATGGCCCAATGGTATCAACAAATCCCCTTACAGATAGCTCGGGGCCAGAATTGTCATTACCCATAGTCTCGTGGTCTATGAAGATGACAACAACAGTAATATCATCGTGGATATGTCTCCTTACACCCTGATCAAGCTTCTTTACTTCATTGTATGGTATTTGTCTGGTCACAGCTGCCCTCTGTAAAGCTGTTACCACTAGTCTTCTGGCTATACCCTGATGATGTGTCATGAAATATATGGGCAAAAACATCATAAAAATGCACTTATAAAACAGAATAGTTGTTAATATATGGACAAGAAGTTGATTAGATCAAAACCCGAGCTCAGTGAAAATTATGACAAGATAAAACCTCCCATGTTTAAACTTTTAAGTATATTTCAGTAGTTGATTTTAAGCAAAAGCTTCAAACAGTCGAACCTTGGGGTTTTTTTTGTAATTATTCCCAAGCAGGCAGTGATCTAACAAGCTTTTTTGTGATCTAACAAGCTTTTCTCGTAATTATTCCCAATAGAACATGGTTAAGCGAGAGTATGAGAACAAAAACACACCGTTCTTGGATTATTATGAACTATCTGGACAGCCTCTTGATTCGTCAAGTGTTCCCAAAGACCATCCGATGCGAAAATGATGAATTTATCAGTGTTTACTAAATCTCGGATGACCATGGCTGGATCGGATCTCAACACCGGCTGGCGAAGAGGTTCAGGAAGATGGAATCTAGGAAAAGATGAGTCGAGTGCGAATTCTGGCCTTTTCAGATAAGCATCGCCTATTGACCTTGATACCTGAAAAAAAAGAAAAGCACAATTAAATATCCAACAAAAATATTGCAACAAACATAGTATAGAGAGCGACAAATTTCTGAAACTTCAATCTCAGTAAATACAGTTTATAAGGCAACCTGAGAAGTGAGCATAAACTGCTTACATAAACGTCAAATAAAACCAATCAGGAAACAAATGCTAGCCAGTGAAGGTTTATTGTGACATATAGGTCATTTTGAAGTTAAAATAATCACAAGAAGCCATTTTGACATTTATAAAAATGGTACAACTCACTTTAAAGTTAAAATAAAATCAAAGCTCATGGAGTTTTTTATTTTTGTTATTTCCCTCAAATACCCATATATTAGAAATTTTACAGAGCTAATATGTACCAAAATTCGTTTTCATTATTGAGTGAAGTCACATCGCATATGTACCTGTATGATACCCTTGATACGCCAAACCCCTTGCTTCATAACCACAATCTGTGAATCATCCGGATGGAGAGCTTTCAATTCTTTTCGGACCTCCTCCATGCTGGCATTGTGGTCTGCCGTCAACTGCTCGGCAACAATTTTATTCGACCCATCCAAGCAGCCCATAACAGCTCTCGAGTCCCCCAAATTGGCAACAAATAAGATACCTTTCCAGATGACCCCGACCAAACAACACGACCCGATTGCTGCAATTGCTGGTTTAATTGTGTAGGCACGCCTAACAAGGGTCAGAAAGCCGTTTTCTGTTTCCGATAATGCATTCTTAATGACGTCTTTTGATATCTTTCCATTTTCTCGTGCAAGGGCTGTGAAACAAAAAAGTTGGATCATGTCACACTATGAGAAAATGGGTAAGGAAATATATATATGCAGAGAACCCTTTTTTTTTAATAAAGTTTTTGCAGAGACTCTGAAAATGTCTCAGCTAAATCTTAAGAAACCAATTATTATAGGGGGAAAAGAATTGCCCATTGGTCTTTAATGATTTATCCTTCATGAAAATATCTAAGACATTCAAAGCAGCAACTAAAGGTACATAGCAATCATATAATAAAAAACATAAAAAATCAGCTTAAGTATAAGGAAAAATGGAATCGATATAGATTAATGGGAGAAGAGGAGCACAACACAGAAAAAAATAAACCACAGCATTTGTTAGCAAAGTGTTGTCCATAACCTAATCACCTCATTACCTCATTTTTTTCTAATTAATTTCTCAAGGAATCTGGCTTTAAACCCCCTTCTTAGACAATAAACAACCAGCGATAGGAATGCCGAATGCACAACACACACAATAGATCAAATTCGAGATAAAACAAACACAGAATCATTCGCACGACATGGGAAGGGAAATGGGTCCTCACTAAGCAAATGACGAAACAGATGGTCGCAAATGTATTTAGCAGCCTCGGGCCCGCCGTGGCCGTCATAGACCCCAACAAAAGTGGCGTCTCGGCCCGTCTCGACCTGGCTGTGATCCTCTATGACCTCGTTCGCCTGGACCACCGCAAAAGAGAATTCTCCCTGAAAATGCTTCTCGAGGTCCCTCGACCATAGGAGTGAGTCATCTTCACCTCCAGCACCATCATCGTCATCCTTCCTCATACGGGCATATCGACTCAAGGGCCGGAAGCAAGAGGACACTGTTCTTCCAAACGTGGAACACATCCCTCATTTCCTTCTTGTTTCAGAACAATGCTTTGTGGCTACACTTTTGACTGAATAACAAACAAAGAGCGAAATTCAACAACTCAGATGAATAGATCAGAACGGGTAATCAAGAGAATCTGTAGAATTCGATTTCAGAATTGAACGGAGGCAGGAAAAGGGTATTAGGAAACTGCAAGAAAAATATAAAGCAAGAAATAATCACTGAAACCTCGGATCAAGTTAAATTTGGTCAGCGCTGAGGAAAATAATTGAGAAAATTAATGAGAATAATGCCCCTAGAGGCCCCCAATTCCCAGGCAACTCGGGGACCCTTAAAAACCGGAAGCACCAAAAAGGGGAAAAAGACAAGACAAAGAGGGTTTGCACGATCCAATCAATATTAATTTTAAGAAACTAGAATTATTGTAATAAACAAAAGAACTGAATAATATCGTCGCATAAAAGTTGTAAATCACGATACTTGGTGAAAAAACATGAACATCAACTTCTTATTTTCCAGACTGCACCGAGATTTTCAAGAACAGAAAATTAGAGAGAAGAACTTACAAATCTGTTTGATATCAACGATACGGAGTACCACCAAAGAATTTGATCAATGCACAGCAACACAATGCGAAAAAAAAAATCTTCTTTTTAATAAATCTAACCGCAAATTGAGAAAAGACTTTTCGCAAGGTATAAAACAAAAAAAGATAATTTCTAGGCGTAAAATAGTGAAAAAGGACGGAGAATTTGGGACAAATTTCTCTAGGGACGTTCCAGATTTGTTCCAGAAAAATAATATTTCGCAGCTATAGACGAAAAAGGAGAAATTTTTGAGAGAAAATGCATCTGGGATTTCCATATTTTGATAGGCTACCAAGATTTTTGTATCAAAAAAATCCGTGTATGTACGAATGAACAGTTATTTTGTGTGTACAAAATTGCAAAAAAAAGTGCGTGAGTGGACTTACACAGAGAGAGAGAGAGACGGAAATGTTCGATGGAAAATGTGCGAAATTGCAAGCAGTATTTATTAAGTAATTTTTTTTTTCTTAGTATTGAGTTTGACTTTCTGTAGTCATTATAATCATTGATAAGCGGTTGTTTTTTTAATTTTTTTTTTTTTTTNAGGCTGGAGAGGCGAGTAGCTCAAAGTCCCTAATAAAAATTAAATACATGATGACAATATAAATTTCCTAACATATTTCTGAAAAAATGATCAAAATTAGTTCTTGCGTGCCTAATAAGAATAGTATTACATAGCGTGCCTAATACGAAAAGTATTACAAATTAATTGTAAGACCTTTGTTGGGTCGTGGAATGAAATTCTTGATTAAGAGAAAGCAAAGTTTGTCTTTTACGTATTATATTATTTTTTTGTTTGATGTATTTTTATTGGGTAAAGTGAACAACTTATACAAAAACATTGGCTTGTGAATTAGACCTAACAGTTAATCATTTTATAAAAAATTAAATAAACAAAATTGTGACGGTTAAAGCATAAGAATGCAGTATTATTGTAAAAAATAATGAAACGATCCTCATAATTGTTCAGCAGCTTTCAACACTAGCTTATGTGTTGAATTTTATACGCCATCCTTAAGAAACAGAGTTAAAAAAAAAAAAATGTTAGATGATCCATGTGAATATTGGTGGTGTTCTTTTTGATAAGTAGGCAAGTAGCTTATGACAGTTGATGTGGAGAAGATTAAAAGGCACAAAAAGTAAATATGAAAAAGAGTGCAGTACTTGCATTTTGGCATTATCTGATGTTTTATTTTTATTTTTGAAATAAATTGCATTATAAGCTTGTCTATGAAAATGTAGATGTAGAGAATAATAGTGATATAGGATATCATATACTAGACCAGCTTTAATGGATAAAAAGAGAATATATTGAAGAATAAGCTTATGCATGGCTATGGCTAGGACACGTGGCGTGATGCTATTGGACAAGCTCAACTTAGGTCATAAGGTACATTCTCCCTATAAAAGGGGACTAAGGTATCACATTCTCTCACTCTCTCGACATTCATTACTGCACTTGAGATTTAGAGTGATTCTGACTTGAGCGTCGGAGGCCCGACGCTGGGACCCCTCCCGGCGTTGGGTTCTTGCAGGTACGGTAGCCGTTCGAGTTGAAGGAGCCCGGGTGAAATCTTATTCACTTCATTGGCGCCGTCTGTGGGACCCGTTCAAAAAGCCAAACGGAGTTCCGATCGAAAAATTCTGAAAATTTTCCAGCAATCTCCTTCATCTCCACCGGTCGCCGCCACCTCCGCCGACGGCCGTCGGAAAACGTGCTCCGATCGTAAAATTGTTGGTGTCATCGAGTAGATCTCCTCGAGCTGAATCTCTCCTTAAAATTTCATGCGAAGATTCCTCCGGGAAGGCCGTCAATTTTACGGTCAAAGTTTCCAGATCTAAGTTATTCCGGTCAACTCTCGATCTTCAAATCGATTTTTCTGGAAATCCGTGAGGGCTATGAGAAATCCGAGAGCACCACTGGAATCTTCTCGTCGGGACAAGTTCCCAAGTCATCACCTCCGCCACCGCCGCCGCCGCCTGCCGCCCCATCGTCGTCGTCCGCCGCCGGCAAAGTTGTCCGATCTGAAAAATCTGTACATCATCATGAAGATCTTCTCGTGCCCGTTTTCCCCTTAAAATTTCATGTAAAAGTTCCACCGGGAAGGTCGCCGATTGGCCGGTCAAAGTTTTTGGATCTAGCATTTTGGTCAACTCCGGTCATCTTCTCCAGTTTTTCGGCGATTTCTGGTGGATCGCTCCAAACCGAGGGCACCATCGCGATCGGCCTGACGAGGCGCACCAACGGCTAGTCACTCTCGTCGGCGCCGGCAAGCTTTGTCCGGCATATTCCTTTATCCGGCGAACCGCAGCTGTGTGCTCCCTGTCCAGTTCACCGTGGAGGTCTGTGCCCGCTTCAGCCCATGTCCGCGTTACCGTGGAGGCCCAGATCGCGGTCCAAGAGGAGGCCCAAGGGGAACGGCCCAATAGCAGATCTACACCAGTGCGCGGCCGCGTCCAGCCCGCGCGGCCCGCATGTCTCACAGGTTAAGGCCCGCGTTAGGCCCGTTTTTTGCCCTTTTCCGGCCCAGCCCTCCGCCCGCAGCTCTCACACTCTCAGCCCGCGCGAGCCCGCGAGCGGCCCGCGCCTTCCCAGCATCTCCAGGCCCAAGGCCACGGCCCGACGCCCTTTGTATGGCCCATTTGGAGTCCAGCCATGGTCCAGCGCCCTGCATATGGCCCAAATGTTGTCCAAACTCCTCCAATGCGGCCCAATTGATGGTTGAATCTTCTGTAGTGGCCCAGAATGCTACCAACTTGATCCAACAGCCCCATTTAGTGCTCAATGCTAATTCGGGATAATTCGAAATGGACGGTGAGGTAGTTCGAGATAGAATTCTCGTGATAAAGGTACGCGGTTAATTTAAATTATTGGTCCACGGATTTTTTAAATTGGTGAAGAAGTGGAGAATATGTGATATATTCGTGGGCATTATTGGATTCATTTATGGAGTATTATTGGACTCATACGTGGAGCTTATTTGTGGTGTATTATTGAATTTAATTCATGGAAACTATTTAATTTATCCGTGGAAATTAGTTGACTTATTCATGGAGGATTATTTGATTTGCTCGTGTTGGATTATATGGTTTATTCGTGAATCTATTTGATTTGTTCGTGGAAATATATGATTTGTTCATAGATATATTCGATTTATTTGGGCAAAATTATTTGATTTATCCGAGGAGCCTTGATTTATTGGTTGAGTATTATTGGATTTATTTGTGGACCATTTTTGATTGGGTCGGAGAGATAATATTTGATATTTTTGTGGAGTTTATTTGATTTATTCGTGTGGAGTATATTCGATCTATTTGGGCAAAATTATTTGATTTATCCATGGAGCCTATTTGATTTATTGGTTGAGTATTATTCGATTTATTTGTGGAACATTATATGACTTATATATGGAATATATTTGATATATTCGAGAAATGACTTGGCCGCGGATATATTTGATTTGGTGGTGGATATATTTGATTTGCTCGAAATATTATGTGATTTATTCGCGGTGATATGCGATTTATTCGAGGAGGTACTTGATTTATTTGAGGAGAATATTTGATTTATTCGTGGAGATATTTGTTTTGTGCGTGGTGATATTGGATTCGATTATGGAATTATTTGATTTGTTCGTGGTAATATTTGACTTGATCGTGGAATTATTTGAGTTGCGCGTGGAGATATTGTTTGACTTATTTGTGGAAATATTATTTGGTTTAATCACGGAAAGCTTATTTGATTGATAATGCTTGGCGTGTATTTGATGCATTTATCAATTTTTATTGGTTGGCTCGAGGAGATAGATTTACATTATATGGTTTGATATCTTGATATATTCGGAGTCTCTCATTTGGATTTTCATGCGAAAATGTGGAGTTTTGTTTGAATTGACTATTCATAATTTTTAAGCATGTCATTGCTCGAGCATGTCTTAAATCAAGGAGATGGTGATGATTGTATTGGATCTCTTGTTTTTCTTGCGTGGAGAATTGCAAAATAGATGACGTGAATATAATATGGATAACGATATCTCTTTGAATTCTTATCGAGGAAACATCGAAATAACCCGACTCTCGACGAGCTATGGTGGACGAGTTGTGGAGTTTTAAGAACAAATTGAGCGAGCATGGATCCATCAAAGCAGGGCGATAAGGAGGGACGAGCCTGGATGGTGCCGATCACAGGTGGCAATTTCAGAGGCAGAAATCATTCTCTTTTGGAGAGGTAGGATAATTGGGAGTTGCATTTTCGACCTTCAAGTATAAAATTAATTCCAACTCTTGTCAATGGTCAAGATCGACTGACACTATTTTGTGACATATGGAGTCTCTTAGCATTCTTTTTTGGGAAAAATGTTCATTGTTTGAATATTTTGGGTGAAATGTCGCTGAGATTGTGGTGTATGTGGATATGTCTGGAATTATTATTTGGGTGACTAACAAAATGCAGAAAACGAGGTGTAACTCTCGAACAAAACCTGGCACGACTAAGGCCTTCGGGCTGGCCAGTCTCGAGTCGTCATGACTAAGGAGCTCGGTATTGGGAGTAACTCATTTGAATTTTTGTTTGGTGCATTCGTTTGATGATTGTTTGTAGCTGCAGAGTATGATTTATTGTAACTGTTTGTTGAATTCATGGCTTTGTGAAATTCTGGTCGACTGTACAATTGAGTGGGTGTTTATGCGATTTCATATCGTGGTAGAGACTTGCATATAGATTGAGGTGTTGTATAAACGAATGTGGACCAGCGTGATTGCTTTGATTTATTCGTCTTCTGTTGTTATTGCTATCGGGATTGTAAATTGGATGATGTGGATAAAATGCAACTAATGGAATCTGTAGAAATTTGAGGAAAATGCATGAGCAGGTGGACTGGATGTTGGCTATGGTGAGGAGTGGGAAGCATGGAGCAAACAACAACTCAAGTCGTCGTGTACAAACATGAAAGGGAGGTCGAAAAAATGCTTGATATTTTTATTTTTATATCTTGTTCGATATAACTATGCATTCGATGGGACTAACGAAAATGATCAATTACTATTCTGTCCCGTGGTCTTTGGTGTGTTTTCTTGTCGACCTCAGTGGCAGATCGAAGTGTTCGAGCAGCTTAAAGAAAAAAATCCACCATGACTAAGGCCTCCGGGCTGGGTGGTCACATGTAACGACCACTCCTTCGAGGGTGGACATGAGTTCGAAGACCAAAATCCACCATGACTAACGCCTCCGGGCTGGGTGGTCACATGTAACGACCACTCCTTCGAGGGTGGGCATGTGTTCGAAGACAAAAATCCACCATGACTAAGGCCTCCGGGCTGGGTGGTCACATGTAACGACCACTCCTTCNANNNT